AGGTAAAACCTTTGTTATTTTAGTAACATTGAGCTCAGAACAGTTTCGGATGAGCATACATTTGTTCGCTCGGTAAATGGAATGCTCAAAACAATGTTGTGTTGTTTCCATTTATGACTGAGCAAGAGAGTATTCGTTCCCTCAGTCTAGTCAAACATTGTTGTATTGTACCAACTTGTTCGCTCGCTCTGATGTTTCCATTTAAGAAAGTAAATGTTTGCTCGTTCAGAACTGTTCTGAGCTTAAAAGGGAACGCAGCATGCAAAGAATATTCCTAAATAAAAGAATAAAGGTTCTACCATCACGTAGGTACAAATATAAAAATAATGGATAAGTTCAATTGTTACAATGCTATCTAAACGCATAAACATGTTTTTGCCGCACTGCTTTGCTAATTAAGCCGGCTTTGCGTGTTCCGAGTTATCAAGTTGCTCTAAGCAAATTAGCATAACTTTGGTATATTTGCAATTGTAAATTATCGGTGTGCCGACTCAGTAATATCTTTAAGAACAAAGAGTTGTATGTATGAGCTTGTCAGCGAGCGGAGAAAGTGGAACGAATGCTAATCCTCTTTTGTATTTAAAGCTGGGGGTATTACAAAGGAAATCAGTATTGTAATGATATTGATGCTTATGTCGGCTTTAATAAATCAAAGGTCAATAATAGACAAACGTGTTTGTAAAAAAAAAGAAAGTTACTTGTTCACTATCTGAGAGAGATTCTGTGACATCATGAACACTTTGTTTCTGTAACAGAAAAAAACCATTCATGATGTCTTCTGTGACGACTATAATTAACTTCTAGGAGATGAAAACTTCTTCAGATAGGTAGGTAATAAACTGGTTGAACATGAACACGCAAAAAATAATGTACCAACTGCGACTCAATCGCAGTCAATTGCTTTAGAAAACGTTTTAATTTTGAGATTTATATGTCTATTGAACAACTCTACCTATATTATATAAAATATGATTTTTAAGTTATCATCAAATTCTACAATTTGTAATAGTTGTCATAAATAAAAAGCTTGAAATTATTGTAAAAAGTGTTTTATTAAAAGGCTCGACTGTTATCATATCACAGTACATTTGGCATCGATATGATTTGGCCTAACGACTGATATCAACAATAATATTTTTCTTCGGATGATAATTTACAAATGTGACACAGTGATAGTACAATCTTTAGTTTACAAAATTTAAACAAAACATTTTCTGCCCCCAAGGTTTTCATATCTACTCTTATTTTTATAACTTACAATCACGCGAATTCTAATAAAAGTCTATGAAAATGACATAGTATCAACATAGTATTTCTTAGCTTTAGTAGTTATACAATCATGCATAAGCAAACAGCATAAGTCGTATAAAGCTTAAACGTATTGCCAATAGCAGCAAGTACTTATTTGGAGTTTTCTTGATTTTTGGTTTCTTTTTCTTCTTTTCTGTTCCTAGAAAATCTGCGTAACAAACTAAATTGTCAATTTTTGTGAGAACCGTGGCCTGTTATACAGTTATTCTATGCCTAGTTTAGGCCACACAAAATTAAACCTTGTTATTGTAATACAAGCAAAAGTTTTTATTTATTGTGTAGGTATACAATATTAAAGCTTGTAAACGGTAGAGAAATAAAAAAAGGAAAAGTAATTTCTTTATCACATTTGTAATTAGTAAATCTATGTTATGTGAAGAAATACTTTAATTGAATTAAACATTTGAAAATAAACTTCAGTTTACAAAACAGATAAATTTTAATCGTCATGTGATTTGCTATGTCATTTGTTTCTGCCGGACCTGGTAAAGTAAAAAAAAACTTCTACAGCACAAAAAGAGATTATAATGATAGGATACTTATAGACACAAATTCTTTTTATAAGCACGATAAAAGAAAACTAAAAGGCAAAAGGGGAAAATAACGAAGAAATAGAAAATTTTTGATTGATTTTTACGATATTTAAATAGTTTTTCTGCTAATCTGGGGGGAGACGAATCCAGAAAAATCAGATCTCATAAAAAAAACAAATATCCAAACCAAAACGTCCATACGTTCTCGAGTTACAAGTGTTGTAAATGACACGACTTTGTTTTATACATCTTTAATGAACTATATAGAATATAGCTATAGATAAAGTCAATGTCAGAAAACAAGACAATACCGGAAGATGCCTCACCGACTGCAGCAAATCAGAGGTGCACCTCCGATTTAAAAGCTCATTCGGATATATCTATGGGTAGGTAAGTATATAAAGAAAATATAGTGACTAGTAACATCGCGTGTGTTAATGTTTATTTTTTCATTTTATTCTTATTGGCATTGTAGCGTGAAACATAAACTCGTTTCACCAACGATTGCCTTTTGTCGACCTCGATAGTTTTTACAGGCGAGTGAGACGTTTTTAAAGTTTTATGATGATTGCTTCTTTACTCGTGCCGATTATTACGTAAAACATACTTTTCGTTTATGTCGGTACCTCACAGCTAATTCTCAAGACGTTATAGATAATATTCCTAAGTATTCAATTATTTCCAAGTCTGCGGCCTTCGGTTCTTGCCCCGCAGGAAGGTAATTCAATATTCTATTAATACGAATTTGAATATTCAACTGATGAGATTTTAAGCTTAGCTCGTCAGGGTTCAGTAACAAAAACAATTTCTTTGGTTAACTTTATCTGCAAAAAAAGTTGTATAAAAAAATAAACATTTGACGGATTAGTTAAAAAACCTATTAACTTAGATAAACACAATATTGTTGATATATTATCCGCTATGAATATAGTTTATTTTCAAAAACAGCGCTGACATACATTTACTCAATTCTAAAGTTAAGCAATTTCAAACGCATGCTCAAATCTCTAAATGGTAAGAACTTATAAGTAAATATGCCTTAATGGCGGGCACAACGTTTGTTCGCAACGCATCGGATCAAGTTATGTGTGCGGAAGCTTCTAATCAAGCTGAGCTTGGTCGCAAGCGCGCTGCAGGAAGTGGCAGAAACGCGGAAAGGCACCGGACACCGCTCCACTCGACATTCGCCGCGACATGTGTATCGATATATCGATAGATTAAAAAGTGACACGGTTATATAGATACACAATTCAAGTCATGTGTTCGAACCAATTTCAAGTGGTACCTACTTCATCAAATTGTGGTTTATGAAAGTTATGATACCTATTACAATTTATAATTAGTAGCTTTTGAATAGTGCAAAAAGTTAGTGCCTACTATGAACTACGTATTGACATTATTTGATGTGATACCTCTAGAGTCTACTTTAGATAGAATTCAGTACGAAAAATGTAGTTACAATAATAGATGCTAGTTTTTGTAACTTACATAATTTCCTCGCAGGTTCGTCAACCGTTAACGTTACCTACGTCAGACAGCGTAGTACTTATTAGTTCCATGGAAACAACACAGTTAAATACATTGTACTATATTCATAGCGAACAAGGCGAAACTAACAAGAGTCGTGCACACGAATCGTGAGTCCCCATTGAAAGAGTACTGGCCACAACGCTTTCTGTAGCTTGAAAGCCTTGAAGTTTAACGAACGAATCTTATTGCGTACGAAACATAATTATTGGAACTTTGGAGTTTTATCGAAGTATATTAAGTACTCCGTACAAAAGCAAATCAGTCGAACAATGTCAAAAAATTATAAAATTCTGATTCAAATATGAAACTGTCAGGTCATTACTATGTACTTACTTTACTTCGTTTAGAACATAACTTGATGTTTGTCAGTGTGAAATAGCAAAAAAAGGTATGTTTTCAAATTAGCGAATACAGACGTATCCAATATTATCTATCTCTGATATCGATAAAATACTGTTTCTTTTCAACTTTTCAGCACTTTCTATTAAAATAACTAACTGAAGGAATACTTGAAATTGCATTAGCCTACTTAACTCATATTGTACCTACCTTAAAATGTTTTATGGGTATTTTTGGTTAAAAAAAATAAAAGAAATATTCTTTTGCATCTATGATTAGTGTAGAATATTGAGTTAAAGAATTTATGTCAACATTTAAACAAAACTGAATTGACGTTGATGCTGATGTAAATGTATTTTCCTTTTCAAATAATTAATACCCTTTAAGGATAAATGTTGCTTTATATTGATCAATCAACATTGCGTATGCGCATAATTTTATTAGGATTTGATTTGTGCAAAAAACTGACGATATTAATTCAATAGAAGCGAAATAACCCGCAATTACGTTATTTTTTATTAAATCAAAGATAGTATAACCTAAATTGTTTATGCCAATTCGTATCCACCAAAGTGGCAAGATAGTCTGCAACGTGACGTATAAATAGTGTGAATTTAATTAAAACAATGTGATAATGAGTTATCAGTGCAACACTCTAATCAAAAGCGTTGCGCCAGTCTTATCATAGTTTATGGCTAGATAAATTGCTAAACTAAAATTTCATTAAGAGCTTTCGGCTACTAAATAATGTAATGGCAAACATAACTACTGATAATAAAATTATAGTGAGCCCTGAGCTATAGTGCGATAAGTGCAGATAACGATTATAAATGGAAACTTGCGTATAGAGCAGAACGAAAGAATATACAGCTCAAATTCACTCGAAAGGACTATACAATAAGGTACTTTTTGCTGCGACTGGAGCTTATTTTTTTATTAGTACACACATCATACAGTGCTGGCCTCGTAGATAATGAATTATGATATTATTTCGTTGTAGATACGTAGTTGATTCCATGCCATATGCGTGAACAGAAAAAAAGAAAATACTTCAAGTTTTAATTACCCTTAATTACACAACCATGCTTAGACAAATTAAAGTAGGTAATTTAATTAGAAGCTAGTCAATGTACATTTAACATTCTGTCTATAGCCTATTTTAATATTATGAATAAATACAATTCACTCGTGCATCCACTAGAATATGAATGCGCCAAGATCTTTGCAGAAGCAAATATTTATTCAGCGCCAACACTCGATTATTCAAATACAGGCGCCTAATCTTCTTTACAAAGTAGCGTAGCTCAACATTATGCCACTGAAAGATTCATATTCAGGTGCCGCAAGAGACAAAGCTTTAAGCTACGGGAAAAAATGCGAAGGTCGTTAACCTATCTACGTCAAACGCTAAACGTGCTATTTCATCCGCCGCAAAACCTATTTACGTAGAGGCGAAGGATAGCTGCGCTTACTTTGTCTTTGGATGCCAGCCGTTTTAGGTCGAGGATTTTGTGATACTGCCGGAGTGCGCGCATGTAGAGGCGCACCGGGAGGTCGATGGGCATGGACACAGGGTCCGTTTTCCTGGACGCCACGCCCGCGTTCATGTCCACAGTCTACACGCACTCACTACGAATACACAGCACAGGACGAACGAAGCACAACATGCGCGGCGCCAACAGCGCGTCCGAAGTGAACGTCGGTCCCTCGCAACACTGACGTAGCGGGCAGCGTCGGGTCGGCCGCGCATGCGAACATGCCATGAGTGCAAAAAGAAACTAGTGCTTATCCACGCTCCGTTGACTTTCCCTGAGAGCATCTTTAACCGACCCGCTTTTACTGCATGTGGGACGGCAATGTGCCCGCGTCCTTGTTGTCCGTCGCGGCAATGACAGCTTTCAAGAAAGTTTAATTGTGTCCGAGAATATGACTCGGACGCGTGAGGTACCTGCTTATGCCGTAAAAGTTACACGAGCTAAGTTTACGCTTACATTTTACCGGGAAACGTGAAGTTGCTTTCAAGTTTCCTAGGTTGTGTGTGTTCCTATGTAATGAAAGCTTCAAAATAACGATCGTAAATACTTAGTTTTCATATACACATCAAATAATTTTCTGCTTAATCGGAAATGCAATCCTTTACCGATTTAGGTTTAATTCAAGTTCCTTAAAATGGTGAAGTAATCGCATTTTGTTTACTCTAATTGTCCTTTAATGTCTAACGATTTGTACAGGTCATTATTATTATTAGGAAACCAAGAAAAATAACAATACAAGGGTAGACGCACACACGTACAACTTGATGCAGAGCACAACAATCGCCTACTTAACACTATGGCTCATAGAAATGACACAGCACTTTTGATACAGATTACTCAGCATCCGATTGTGCAGCAAAACACTCAATGAAACTGAGACTATAATAGTATGACGTAATGCGTTTGTAAATATAAAAATTGAATTAAAATATATACCTAAACACGAGTTATTAGGGACCGTTTGTAACATCAATAAAATATTATCATCATCATCATCATCATCAGCCCATGCTCGTCCACTGCAGGACATAGGTTTCCTCTAATGCACGCCACTGCTCCCGATTTTCTGCCGCTCTCATCCAGCCCACTTCAGCCAGCCTACGAATGTCATCATGCCATCTTGTCTGAGGGCGTCGGAACACTACGTTTACCGAGTTGCGGTCAATAATTTTTTTTTCTTATTTTAATATATTTATTCGAAACGAGTTAGTTGGTGGAGGCGCTTTCTTTATCATAATAATCGCATGTATTATGACAAAATTTAATTTTCAAAAAATACTAAAAAGTAAAAAAGAAACTTGTATTTATCTTGTTTTCGAGGTAAAGATGTTTATTAATGCTACTATATTTGTATATATTTGGTGTGGTCTCATTAAGACTTTCATATGATACCTATACTGTAATAATAAGTTTTTTTTGAAGTTATACTTCTTTAGGCGCGTTATGAAAAAATGATGAGAGTGAAATTTTAAGATGCGCGCGCATCACTGTAACACAAGAAATTTACAGCATGAAGTTGGTCGCTTTAGCGACCAACTTCATCCGTAACTTTTGTGTTTACCGCACATTAAGAAAATCTACCAACAAAATAGAAATAGAATCTCTATTTAGTGGGTGCTAACGACTGCATTGTGAAGGCCTATCAAAAGTATTTATTAATCTGGCAGACTTTTTATTAATTTATTGTAATTAATTAATTGCATGCAATTAAAAACTAATTTTAAACGATGCCAAAGAAGGATAACTTCTCACGCGCCTACATAAGTACACGCACCCATTTTTTTAAAATTGAGAATCTAAATCATAACTGCTGATAACGCCTGGGCGTGTGATATAATCGGAGTTGACTCATCACCTTCTTGATCATTATCACTTATGGCGTCTTCTTGTGTTATTCACATTCTTATTCAATTTTATGCTGCCGCAAGAGGTAACATGTGCGGTATGTGTTGGCAATTTAGGCGTATAAAACGGGATGACGAATCGTATTAAGTGTTATGAAATGGATAAAAACATGTCTCAAGTTGCAGGGACTGACGCAAAATGGCGTATAATGCGAACAATCGTATTAAGCATGATCGTATTAAACGGGTTCTACTGTAGTTTAATTTTCGCGTATTATTAAAGAAAAATACTAAGCCTTGGCCACAACTACCCAAGCAGCACAAACTAGCTGTACATGAGAATAGTTCTTGCCAATTGTTTTAGCTGTCTTGGGAGGCTGTTTATAATATCGACTAAGTTCCTAACTCTTATAAGTTCATCACGAAACAATTTTTATTTCATAAATTCGTTAATACTGCGATTTCAGCTTCACTTCGCTTGAACTTAAACTATCAGTAATAGACGCACTATTACCGATAGTTTAAGTTCAAGCGAAATTTGCTCAGAAATACCACTAAACTGCGAATTTAAAGATTTTGAGAATACAAAACCCTCCATATTGCACGCTAACGCTTGAATAGATTAGGATTGGTCATCAATTTTATATTTCAATGCAATATTGTTCTGTTTATTGAATTAAACTTCATTAATTGATTGTTTGGTGTAAGCTAAATATTGTTTTAAGACTATTTCTTAATTGCACCACTTCTATTTCGATATTCATAATTTACGATCCATATTTGAGAAATCCGCGTTGTCGGTGTGGTTTACAATGCGCCTTTTTACAGCCTACAGAGTACTAACATTTAAAATATCTATATAGTACAGTAAAAGGTTCTTTTGAGGATTTTGCCTAGAGTCTTATGAAGCTGGTATTATTATGGTATTGAAATATACCAATAAACAGGTTTTATTCTTTGGTAATTTTATTACAAAGCTTAGAGCTTTAAAACATATTCTAATTATTATCTTATACAGCTGTTTGAAGTACATTATAGAACTAGGAGTGTAGTGAAGTGTTAGCTGTATATTGTACAGATTTTGTCTGTATATTTATTTCTATTTATCTGTTTTTAAGTAGGTAGCTCAATAAAAAGTTTGTTATTACTTTTAGTACAGCGAAAACTTTAATAAGTTTAAAAAATTCTATGGTCCAGCTTACTGATGTCACGGAAACCCTTCTAATACCGTTATTCAACTTATGACTGTAGGTTTGTAACTAGTCTGGCCATAATTACTGTTACATAAAAACTTTCCTTTTTTGAACTTTTTAATTATTTTGAATTTGGAACACGTATATTATTTTAAATACTTCTTTCGATTTTGCGCCAATTCACATATTTTCTCGTGTTCATTATTAAATTACAATATGGAATGGGGTGTTAAGGAAAATAGGATTGCAGTGATCGCCTTGCACGAAGTGGGTATGTAGCCGTCGGTCATATTCCAGATACTTCAAAAGCTTGGTATCAGCCGTATGTTCGTATATCGTACTTACTATCAATAGATACAACAACACTTCGTCAGTCGAAAACCAGAAAAGATCGGGGCGGCCGTGTGCTGTTAGAACTACAAAGGCTGTTAATGCTGTCAAAGCCAGAATTCGTCGAAATCCTATTAGGAAGCAAAAAATCTTATCGCGAGAAATGAAGATTCCCACTGGGACTCTGTCGCGTCTTATAAAACAAGACCTGAAGCTCTGTGCTTATCGTCGATATACAGGACATGCCCTAAATCAATCTTTACAATTAAAGTGAGTGGATCGATTAAAACGCCTTCTGTCGCGATACGCAGGTGAAAAGCACAAAAATATCCTCTTTACAGATGAAGAAATTTTCACGATTGAAGAACACTGCAATAAGCAAAATGATAAAGTGTACGCTCACAGTTCTAAAGAAACTGCTCAAGTGGTCGGAAAGGTACAACGAGGTCATCATCCTGCGTCAGTGATGGTTTGGTGGGGCGTGTCTAATCAACGAGTCACAAAACTACATTTTTTGTGAAAAAGGAGTGAAAACTTGAGTCAAAGGGTATCAAGATACAGTATTTTTTTATTTTTGCTGGGGCTTTATTAAACATGTAGGTATAAATTTTAATAATATTACATAACTTCATTAAAAAAATGCATTTTCATTTGTAACATTCTAACAAAATTATCTATTTCAGGTAACCTCGAGCGTGACCTTTGACACAGTGGATTTTTTCAAGATAATATACCTACTTATCGGTAGTATTGTGAAAGCAAAGTTTATCAGAAATAAAATAATTTCAGATCAAACTTTGATGACTCTGGATTGAATTGTTTATGCAATTATTCTTAATACAGTTTCGACGTAACGTAGCGTAATAAATAATAATATAAAATAGAGTGACAGTGACTCATCATCATCACCCTTTTAATGTCCCTACTGCTATAGATATATAGATACAGGCCTATAGATGGATTAGGGAGATTGGGCCATTACCCACCACGCGGGCCCAGTGCGGATTTGTGGGTACTAACGACTGCAGACGCAGCCGGGACCAACGGCTTGATGTGCCTTTTGAAGCAAGGAGGAGGATGGTTTTTGGTCACTCATCTAATAGCAGACCATTGCAAAAGTTGCTTAACTTCAACGATTACAGCCGAATGCGCTAACCACCTGCCGCATCGAGCTTAACAGTCACTGGAATCTTTAAAATTGCCTACACATGACACTTGCACACTACACATCCTTGCGACCCCCTCAGGTTCGAGTGATCTAGTGGCTCCATACGGAGAGTGGACTCTCCCCGTGGGGAGATGCCATGATGCCAGAGATTCTCGGCTTGAGGTCCCCTTAGGATCTCGCCGTCCCCAAACCCGGTGACGCTGTATAGGTTATCTGCGACCAACAGCATACACACTCAAAAAAAAACCCATTCCTTGCACCATTAATGATCTACTTCTTATCAAGATTACGGCTCTACGAATTATATACTTCTCCATATCTTTTTGTTACACTTTCAACATAAGCAGATAACAGATTTTGATAAATTTTGTTATGAATCTGAACGAAAACTTAAAGAATGACACAGGTTAGGTTCTTATAGTCGCCATAATATAACTTGGTTTAAGGGATGGAAATTGTGTGAAAATACTATGTTGACCAAATCGCGGGCACCTGTTAGTATATAAAAATGAATCAACTATGTATATTTGAGTGAAA